AAAAAAAAAAAAAAAAAAAGAACGTTGAAGGTGGCAATTCATGCCTATAATCCTAGTACTTTGGGAGGCAGAGGTAGGTGAACTGCCATGAGCTCACAGGTTGGAGATCAGCCTGAGCAAGAGTGAGACACCTGATCTGAAAAATAAAAAAAAAGCCAGCCATTGTTGTGGGCACCTGTACTCCCAGATACTTGGGAGGCTGAGGCAAGAGAATTGCTTGAGCCCAAGATCTGGAGGTTGCTGTGAGCTATGAAGCCAAAGACAAAGTGAGACTCTGTCTATTAAAAAAAAAAAAAAAAGAATGTTCAAGGTGATAACCAGGTTCTTCTGGTTTGGAAGGTTTCAGTTGAAAAGTGTACTGTTATCCTAATGGCTCTGCCTCTGTAGGTCAATTGACACTTATCCCTAGCTGTTTCCAGAATTTTTTCTTTCACCTTGACTTTTGACAGGTTCATTACAATCTGTCCTGGAGAAGCTCTGTTTGAGTTGAAATGACCTGGGGTGTGTCGGGATCTTTAGTAAAACTTGAGAAGTTTTCATTTATGAGTCTCCAGTAGGGCTTCCATTCCTTTGGGACATTCTTCTTTCCCTTCAGGGATCCCTATTATTCATATGTTTGTTTGTTTGTTTGTTAGAGACAGAGTCTTACTTTATCACCCTTGGTAGAGAGCCATGGCATCACAGCTCACAGCAACCTCCAACTCCTGGGCTTAGGCAATTCTCCTGCCTCAGCCTCCTGAGTACCTGGGACTACATCACCCGCCACAACACCTGGCTATTTCTTTCTTGCAGTTTGGCTAGGGCTGGGTTCAGACCTGCCACCCTCAGTATATGGGGCTGGCACCCTACCCACTGAGCCACAGGTGCTGCCCTTGGGATTTTTTTGCTGTTTTTTGGCTGGGGCTGGGTTTGAACCTGCCACCTCTGGCATATGGGGCCAGCGCTGTACTCTTTCGAGCCACAGGCACCACTCCCTTGTTTTGTTTTTTTTTTCATTTACATGTTTAAATGCTTCATGGAGCCTCAGTTCTCTAAGCACCTGTTCTGCTTTCTCTCTCTTCTTTTCTGCCTCTTTAACTACCTGGATTAACTCTAAAAACTTTATCCTCTAGCTCTGATGTTCTTTCTGCTCTATAGTCTAACCTATTTTTGATACTTTCTACTATTTCTTTACATTCCCTGATTGTCTCTTTCATTTCCTTAAGCTCTGTCATATCCTTTCTATATTCTACATATCTCTCTGACTTTTGGCTCTGTCTTTCCATTTTCTCATCCATTCCTTTTGTCTTTATCATCCACATTTTAAATTCCCATTCTGTCAAGTCCATTAATTCTTTTTTTTTCTTGCACTTTTTGGCTGGGGCTGGGTTTGAACCCACCACCTCCGGTATATGGGGCCAGTGCCCTACTCCTTTGAGCCACAGGCACCACCTGTCCATTAATTCTTTATAGGTGGAGTGTTCTGCAGTAGCTGCCTCTCCCTTGGAGAGTTCCTGTTTTGGTTTTTCATGTTGTCTGAATTTTTCTATTGGTTCCTCCTCATGTATTCTTTTATCTTGTTCACCTCTTTGTCCTCCTTTTTTTTTTCAAAAAGCTAAATTTATTCAATTGAAATGACAATGCTGGCTCGGCGCCTATAGC